AAGGTCTGGAACAGCCTGCCATCGGAGGTGGTTCAAGCATCTACATTGAACACCTTCAGGAGCAAATTGGATGCTTATCTTGCTGGGATCCTATGACCCCAGCTGACTTCCTGCCCTTTGGGTGGGGGGCTGGACTCAATGATCTTCTGAGGTCCCTTCCAGCCCTAATGTCTATGAAATCTATGAAATATCTGTACAAAGCATTGTACTCATGCAGAGATCACTGTCTTCTGGGTGGAATGTTGCATGCTGCCCCAAGGTGGTGGCCATGTTAAACTTTATTGGGTACGGCAACTAGAGGTCAGAAGTTCTACTATAAAGGCACCAGTAAAGTGCAAAATAGGCCTCTGCACTCCAAGAGTATTTCCTAGATTACTGCTAGTCCCTGTGGAAACAAAATGCACTTGGTATCTGCTTTTCCAAACCCAGATTATATGCTTTTTCTTACCTTTGTCCCAAAAGTAAGTGGTGTTAAGCTTTATTTGTAGCTAAGAGCATCTAATTTCTTGCCAGGCATTGCATGCCTATCTTCCCAGTTTTAATTCCTTTCAAGGGCTGTGGAGTTTGTGTTCTCAGTTGTTTTCATTATGAGTAATTTGTTTTTCTTTTCTAAATTTTTGTCTCAGATAAGAAGAATAAGTGGCACTGGAAAGGCCTTGGCCAGGGCAGACAGATATCAGCACAAGAGGTGAGTAGTTTTCTGCTCAGCTTGGCTTAGTATAAATCTTTATTTTTATTACACAGACTTAAGTTTTTCGCTGAGTAGACTTCAGTTCATGCTCCAAATACTGACTTTGTTCCCATTGTTAAGTGCCATCTAGTGTGTGTACATGTGCATGTGTGCATGTACATTTGTGTGTGTATATATAATGTAAGTATCATAAAACAGCTGGGTTATGGTAACTGCTTTATATTCTCAAGTGCATTGCTCGCATTCTCAGAGAACAAACAGCACACTTAAGGTTTATCAGCCTTTGCTCTGAAAGTCTTGTAGCTCTGGGAAGTAATGCATTATTCTTTTATTTAATGGAATTTGGGATGAGTTAAACTTTTAAAAATGCTTGGTTTTGTACTTCATACCACTTTTGAAAGTGCCATTTGAAACCTACTTTCAGGGCACCACTTCCAAAAAACCCTTATCATTGTCTTCTCTTTTGATTTACTCTGCAATTAACATTACTGTATCCTTGGCAGTAAATGGTGGGAAGCTGGACATGATACTGTTTAAACATTCAGTTTCTGGTATCTGTGGTAATGTTGGCAAATTGTAGCTCAGGAGGCTGAACATCTAAATATAGGAAATGATGGTGAAAAAGAGGGTTTACATTAGATAGATTTTTACATGTGGGCTAAGGAAAAGTAATAGAACTAATGTGAAACTTTGCCTTTTTATTTTGTTGGATCATCTGTTGCAGGTGGCCATTAGCCATATGTGTAGCAGAAGCATGAATGCGTGAGTAGTTCCATTAGGAATTAACTAATGATGCCAGATCCATGTGCAGTCACCAAGCAGCTGCCCTAATCCTGTCTGCTAAAGCTGCAAATCTTGAGGAAAAACAAAACCCAGGGCAAAAGGCTCCCATTGCCCTCCAAAACCCCACCAGTAGCATATCTAATGATGGTGATGGCTTTCATATTGTCATTTATGGTAGGACTCGAAGTATAGAGAAGCCTTTGAAAATGCAGCCACAGCAGCTGGTGAAACATCAGTGAATTTTAAAGGGGGAAGATACCTATGATATGATCCTGGTATATCCAAAGTCTACTGAAAAAGGGTCTCTCAAAGTTCTGTCATGATGTGTTTGCAGAACTTGTCTACACTAGCTAAGGGACTCCAAGACAGGATGGCGGAGCTCAAAATAATTTCCAGCTGTGCTTCAGTCTCACTGTCTCAAACAACTTGTAAGAAGCATATCTCATGAATAAACTGTGAAACACAGTGTTCCTTAATTTTTTCTTCAGAGGTGGCCATGTTCCTGAAAAGTGACAGCATTTCTCATGGCAGGAACTCAAGGCCCATAAACTGCAAATCATCTTCTGCCCTGCAGTAATCTGGGTTTGGCAGAAGGAATCTTTGATACTGGGTGTTGGGAGTGTTAAGTGATAGTTCTTATCACAACTGAGCCGACGTTGAAGCAGGATGCGAGCATCTGTTATAATCTGACAGAGTCCCTGTCTTGCCAGTTGTGCTCAGCTAATTCCTGAGCAAGGTGGCCACTGCTAGTCTGCTCAGAAATACCCTTT